TGCAAGGTCAGAGGTTCAAACTCACCAGCCACTCCTCAGAAACCCTATATGGGGTCTCTGTAAGTCAGAACTGATTATATGGCACTTAACAACAACAATGTGATGGCTGGGACTGCAATTGCCTTGGCAGAACCAGATCAAATGATTTTGTGGACCTTATACGGTCCATGGATGCAAGTTCCCCACCCCTACTCTACTAGAATATAGTCTCCTTGTAGGCTAGGTCTTTATGTTCCAGTTTTTAACAACACTATGATCCCCCATAAGATTTTTTATAAAGATTTAATGAGATAGTGGATGAAGTGTACCAAGAATGGGCCTGGCCCGTAATCGATGCTCTATAGATTCATTTCAGTCATTTTAAAGAATTCACATCACTTTCAAAATCTGTAGCAGAAAAAGATTTTTACAAATACACTGAAGACTACAACTGAGTTTAGATCTGAAAAAGTAATCCACTGGGACTAACATAAGTAAAACAAGGGTGGTTACAAGCTGATGATTTTCAGTTAGGTGACTGGTTCATGAGAGTTCAATGCAAAATACTTTCTACTTCTGTAGTGTTTAAAAATTAACATAACAAAAATAAACAAACCCAAAATGGCCCTTGGTCAAAATAACTTGAATAAAGAATATGACCAGGGATTTTAATTTACAATTTAATTGGTCTACTTTAAGAAGAGCTACACACATTAATTTTTCTAATAAATTCCCTTGCTAAATATAACAAAGACTTCAAAATATTTGAGGATACAAATGATAAATTTTTGGTATTATTGCAAACCTGAAGGGTGAAGCAGTTTATATACTGGTACCAAACAATAGAGCCATCTTGGTATTGGTAACAGCTGCACAAATGATCACACTCCTCATTTAAACGTTCCTTTAATTGGAGGCTGATGTAAAAGTCCCATGGGACAGGTTGAGAAGATACCTATAAGACATTATATTTAAAAAATAAGAATAACTAGAATCTATGCTTATGTTTAAAAGATTGAAAACACATTTCCTCCAGCCCTTTTGATAGTCCAACAGAAATAAAAGCAAAGGGATGTATTAAAAGGTATACATCTACAAAAAACAAGAGGATAAAATAGCAACATAATACTGGAAGCTGGAAACAGAATAACAAGAAATAATAATCCACTTAGAAGACCCAAGGGAAACTGATTCTAGCAATGGATAAAAGCTGAGGAGCAATCAAATTTTAATTACAAAGTCATTTCCCTACAGTAAATAACTTGTGGCACATTTACCTCTGGAAGGAAGGTGTGGGTGGAGCAAAACAGGAGTGGTTGAGCACTGCTTAAGAGGAAGTGAGACTCCAGATCTTCTGCTCTATGTAGTCTAGCCTAGCAAATGTCTCTCTCACATTCCAGAAGACCTCAAGTTTATTCCCTAACGAGTATAAAACAGGAGTTCTGGACTAAGGTGAAATACAATATATGAAAAACAAGAGAAAATGTATATACAAAATGTTACAATGCAAACCCGTTACCCTCCAGTATAGTAATTTCTTCATTCAGCTTTTGAAAAGCTAGCTGCCAGGTTTATATGGTCCAAGGAAGAAATTTGAAATCTCTGATGCAAGACTCAAGACTGTAGAAGGTGGAAGGTAGGAGCACCAAGAAAATGTCCAAGAGTAAGATCATCCTACAGTGAAGTCCACAGCTGTGAAGGCCTATGCATACACAGAGCCTTCTAGTATTCCACACTTAATTATGAGTAGAAAGCCAAAGACTCAAAAAGAAAACCTCTAATATGAAAGATCAAAACAGACAACAGCATCTAGTAGGAAATACAGGGAAAAAATGGATATTTAAAGTATCATTAATCTTTAGAAAGAAAGAATATTCTATCTATGAAATGAATAACAGAATGCTATAAAGACAAAATACTATAAAGAACATTCTGAGAATAAGAAAAAGCTCTTGCAAATTAAATACATGATAAGAAAAATAAGCACAGTAAAAAGATGGAAAGCAAAATTGTGAAAACATTCTAGAAAATATAGACAAAAGACAGAGATAATGAATAAGAGAAAAAAGTCAGAATTTTACAGGATCTGTCCAGGAGATTCCATATACTAATAAATGAGAAAAGAGAAAATTAAAGGATAGAATTTTTTTTCTTTGAAGAAAATCTCCCAGAACTAAAAGTATCCAGAATGAACTGAATACCCAGAACATAGATGTTCAACAGGCCATACTAAGGTATGTAACTGTGAAGTTTCAGAATATTGGAGACAAAGAGAAAAAAAATTTTTAAACCTACAATTCTACTTCCAGGTGAAAATGCAGAATAGAAATTTTCTGACATGCGAAGTCTTTAAGAAAGAAGAAAACAAAATGGGATTCAGGAAATCATGTCTTTAAAATAGGAGCATTAAAATGACACTCTAGAGTAATGATGAAAGGAAATGTCAGGGTGGCATTGTGTGTGTATCAAGCCTGAGCGTAATTTGTCCCGATCGCCAGATCTGAACAGATTAGAAAATTTCAGGAGATACTTCCTCAAAAAGATAAAATTGGAACCATACTCCATACGTTTGCATGTACTGAAAGACTGACACAATAGCCTTTTGACATCTGGTCCTGGACTGTAGTGGTGACTGAAGTCTTGATGACTCACTGGCTTTCCTATAAAGAACCCTAGAGTCTGTTAAAGCATTTGAAGGTATTTGGAGCCAGAGATTCTGCTTTAAAAACCAAATGCAACTAAAAAAATCAGTTGTCCTTGCCCAGATACTGCATAAACTCATGTTATTTAGAAGAGAGCTGAAAGAGAAAAAGTGGGACCTACCTTTATTATGGTTAACTCTGCAGAACTTCTTGGTGCCACCCAGAATAATTTGTAATCTTCACACGCTAGGTATTCTTGTTTAATGCAATAATCCTCATTTCCTGTTGAAAAGATCTCATGATTTCCATTGAAATACAATTATGAGCATTTATACACTCTGGTAGCGTAGTGGTTACGAATCAGGCTGCGAACCTTAAGGCCAGCAGTTTGAAACTACCACACGCTCCGTGAGAGAAAGATGAGGCGTTCTGCTCCTGTAAAGATTTACAGCCTCGGAAACCCTGTACAGGGTCGCTATGGGTTGGAACCGACTCAATGGCACTAAACAACAACAACACACTCTAAGCCATCACCTCCTGATTTAAGTGTTAGTTGTTGTTAGATGCCATGGGATTGGTTTCACCTCATAAATAATTACCCTGTATAGGGTTTCCAAGGAGCAGCTGGTGGGTTTGAACTGCTGATCTTACAGTTAGCAGTCCAGGGCTTATTAGAGGCACTGTTATATTTCCCAGTTAGTAGCATCTAGAATACTTTTGAAAATAATTTGTTAAAAATTGAAAGAAGGGAATACATTACTCCAACTGCTATTGAGACAACTTATATATAGGTAATCTCTGACTTATGATATATTCATGTTGTAATGAGCCATACCTGTGACTGTCAGTTTAATTTTTTTTAAGTCCATCTTATTGTCAACAAAATGTACTACATACAATGTTGCAGCACATAATTTAATGATGCTATTATTCTCACATGTTCACACACAAAATGTCTAATTTTATGAATTATTTTTCAAAATACTGCCTTTAAAGCTAGTTTTCTAAACTAAATCAGATCAGGGGCTTCAGTTGCTTGAAAACAAGGGCTCAAAGCCGATCCCTTTGCTAAAGACAAAAGGCAGATTCTAGAGTCTGTGAGATGTTACCAAGAAGTATATGAAGAAAAAAAGAAAAGGATAACACAAGCAACTCTTACTAGGTTTCTCACTAAACGGCCATCTCCATTCCCAGGGAAAACCCAGATGATCCAGACCCTTCCCAAAGAGAAGCACTGACTGTAATTAACAAAATGCCAGTACCATCCAACTGTTCTTCACTGTCAGGCAAATTTTTATGATTTATCTATTTAAAAAAATAGTACGTGTGTGTTAAAACCATTACTCATCTGTCAGTTTTGTGTACTGTGGTGGCTTGTGTGCTGCTGTAATGCTGGCAACTATGCCACAGATATTTCAAATACGCATAGGGTCACTATAGCGGATAGGTTTCAGAAGAGCTTCCAAACTAAGAGACTGGAAAGAAAGTGACCTACTTCTGAAAACACTGTCAAGTGAAAACATTATAGATAAACAGCAGAACACTGCCTAATATAGTTTCAAAAGATGACTTCCTCAGGTTGGAAAACACTCAATATGTGATTGGGAATAGCTACCTCCACAAAGTGGAAACAATCTTAATGGCATGGATGGAACAAAGCTTTCAAAATATTTGCTGATGTGGCATAACTCAAAACGAGAAGAAACAGCTACAAATGCCCATTAATAATGGTAACGTCGGATGTATAAAGTATGAATTAAGAAAAATTGTAAAAATGAAATGCTTAAAGATTATTATCCTACAGGTATTAGTGAGTTGAAATAGACATAAATTGTCCATTTTGAATCAGACAATCTACTGTGCCAGCAATGACAAACTGAAAAGCAATGATGTTGCATTTATAATTAAAAAGAACATTTCAAGACCTATCCTGAAACACAATGTTGCCAGTGATAGTGTAATATCCAAGTTCACCTACACAGAAGACCAGTTAATACAACTACTGTTCAAATTTACACACTATTGATGAAACTTACAACCAAGGAGCTCTGGTAGCATAGTGGTTACGAATCAGGCTGCGAACCTTAAGGTCAGCAGTTCGAAACTACCAGCTGCTCCGCAGGAGAAAGATGAGGCTTTTTGCTCCCGTAAAGATTTACAGCCTCGGAAACCCTGTACAGGGTCGTTATGGGTTGGAACCGACTTGACGGCACATAACACAACAATCAAGATGAACTGATAATTACTGGTGAATGAAAAGCGAAGGAACCAAAAATGAAATCTCTGCCAATTGAGTCAATTTTGACTCATAGTAAAACTTTAAGACAGAGTAGAACTTCTTCTTTGGGACTCTGAGACTCAGTCTTTAAGGAAACTGACAACCTCATTTTTTCCCCATGGAGTAGCTAGTGGGTTTGACTACCAACCATGGAGTTAGCAGCCCAATGATTATCCCACAATGTCACCAGGGGTCCTGATGAAAAATCAGCAGTTGGAAAATATGGCTTTGGTGATAGAAACAATACTAGAGATTGCATGATAGAATTCTCCAAGACCAAAAACTGACTAATTATAAATACCTTTTTTCAACAACAAAAATAGCAACTATACAGGGTCGCTATGGGTCTGAACTGACTTTACAGCATTTAACAACAACATACATGTAGACCTCGTTGAATGGAATACACAGGAAACAAGTCAACTTTTGTGTAAGATGATGGAGAAGCTCGATATCATCAGTTAGAACAAGGCCAGGGACTGACTGCAGAATAGATTATTAATTGCTCATATGCAAGTTCATGTTGAAGCTGAAGAAAACTAAAACAAGTCCTCAAGATCCAAAGTATGACCTTGAGTATATCCTACCTGAATTTAGATACTATCTCAAGAAGAGATCTGACATAGAAATACAAACAAAAAACAGATTTCTGGTCAGAAAGAGACAGAAGGAACCTGTCTTGACCAACCTTCAGGTCTGGAAAGGAACTCACCCTCGTGGCCCAGGTTTGGGGTGGGGGAGAGAGGTGGGGAGACACAACACAACACTAGTAAGATATGCTTACTATGCATGGAATGGTCAATGATTCAAAATCCAAAGGGCAACATTTTCGTAAGGACAAAGTTGAAAAGGATTGGGATAGTGGGTGGAAGGCAAAAAGGAACCATAGGGAGGAAGCAGGATAAGTGTTGCTGCACGGAGGGGACTGCAAATATGAGGATGAGATAAAATGTATTATTTGTTGAATATAAAGCTGATGATTTTGTCTGTAAATTCTTACTCAATTAACTTTTTTAACAAAAAGATAAAAAAAAAAAAAGGATAACATTAAATAACGTGACAAGAAAAAACCCTAATGTAGCATAATTAAACCTAAATCCATTGTCACCAAGTCAATTCTCACTCATAGGACAGAGAAGAACTGTCTCATATGGTTGTAAATCTTTACAAAAGCAGACTGCCACATTTCTTCTCCAAGGAGTGGTTGGTGGGTTCAAACCACCCACCTTTTGATAAGCATCCAATAACTTAACTACTGTTCCACCCGGGCTCCTTCATCATTACAAAGATAAATGTGCTAAAATCACCAAAGACAAGACAGGGACTCTCAGATCATTCTGTTGTTTGTTTATTTACAAAGATCCAATAATTCACAGTCTACAAAAGAAGCTCTTTAAAAGAAACAGAATAATTAAAAATAAATTATGGAAAAACACACTGGAAACTATAAACCAAAAAAAGCTCAAGTAGTGATTTTAATATCTGACAAAATAAAATCTAAGGCAAAAGATAACAGAGAACAAAGAAGGTAATTATATTAACATAAAACAGCTCAAGGGAGCGCAGTGGTTCCATACGATAAGCACTGGACCGCAAAGCACAAGGTCTGCGGTTCAAGCCCACCAGCAGCTCCGCAGGGGAAAGATGAAGTTTTCTGCCCTCACAAAGATTTGAAGCCTCAGAAACCCTAAACAGGATCACTATGAGTTGGAACTGATTTGATGGCACTTAACAACAACAAATTAAAAAAAAAAAAAGTATAGTGAAGAGTGCAAAGACCTGGAGTTAGGGAACCATTTCTCAAGCTGAAAGAACTCAGCATTTCTTAAGCTGAAAGAATTGAAGAAAATACTCAAGCCTTGAGTTGCAATACCGAAGGACTGTGGTGTAGCGCTGTAGGATGAAGCACTGGATAGCAAGGTTGGTTTGAACCTCAACGTTGACAGTTCAAAGTCACCAGCCGCTCCTTGGAAACCCTATACAGGGTTGTTATGAGTCAGAACCAACTTGACGGCACTTAATGACAATGAAGGGCAAAAAATTGAATGATGTCGGAAGAATCAAAAGATGATGAAAGGAATACACAAAATCAATGTGTCAAAAAGAATTGGTTGATGTTCACATATTTTAAGAGGGAGCATATGACCAAGAAGAACTGATGGCACTGAAGGAAGAAGTCCAAACTGCACTAAAGGCATTGGAGAAGTAAAAGGCTCTAGGAATTGATGGACTACCAACTGAGATGTTTCAACAAACAGATGCAATGCTGGAATTTGGAAGAGAGCTACCTAGTCAACCTATAGGAAGAGACAGGTATTTAAGCCCAATCCAACAGAATGTGGAACTATCAAATAATATAATTCATATCATACCAGTAAAATTATACTGAGAATAATACAAAAAAAAATTGTAACAGTACATCAACAGAGAACTGTCAGAAATTCAAGCATGATATAGAAGAAGACATGGAATGAGAGCTATCAGTGCCGATTCCATACGGATATTGGATGAAACCAGAAAATACCAAAAAGATGTTTACCTGTGTTTTACTGATTATGCAAAGGCATTTGACTATGTAGTTTAAAAGAAGTATGGATAGCATTGCAAAGAATGGGAACTCCAGAACACTTAATTGTGCAAATAGACCAAGCACCAGTAATTCAAATAGAACCAGGGGATACTGTATGGATTAAAATCAGGAAGGTTTGTTAGAGTTGTATCACTTTACCATAATTATTCAATCTATATGCTGAGCAAATAATCTAAACTGGACTATATGAAGAATGAAATATCAGGATTGGAGGAAGATTCATCAACAATCTGTGTTAAGTAGATGATACAACCTTGCTTGCTGAAATGGAAGAGGACTTGAAGCACTTACTAATGAAGATCAAAGACTAAAACATTCAGTATGGATCAGACCTCAACATAAAGACAATAAAACTCACAACTGGACCAGTAAGCAACATCATGATAAACAGAGACAAAAATTGTGTTTCTGCAGGATTTCATTTTACTTGGATACATAGTCAAGAAATAAAAAAATACATTGCATGGGGTTAATCAGCTGCAAGAGACCTCTTTAAAAGCTTAAAAAGCTAAGATAATTTTCTTGAGGAATAAAGTACACCTGACCCAAGCCATGGTATTTGCAATCAAACTCCAATACAAGGGAAAGCTGAACAATAAGGAAGACTGAGAAAGAATTGATGCATTTGAATGAATGGTGTTGGTGAGAAATATTGAATATACTACAGACTGTCCGAAGAATGAACAAATCTCTCTTGGAAGTACAGTCAGAATGCTCTTTAGATAAAGTGACGGTGGCTAGATTTTGTCTCATGTACTTTGAACGTGCTATCAAGAGGGACCAGTCCTAGAGAAGGACATCATGTTTGGTAGACGGTCAGCGAAAAAGAGGAAGTTTCTCAATGAGGACTGACAAAGTGGCTGCAACAATGGCCTTACACATAGCAAGGATCATGAGGATGGTGTATGACAGGGAAGTATGTTGCTTAGTTGTACATAGGGTTGCTGTGTGTCAAAACTGACTCAATGGCATCTACCAACAACAATGTATTAAAACATCTGTAAATTTGTATGTATGTTTTTAATCCACAAAGACTAATCAAGATTGGATTTAAAAAGATAAAGATAACAAAAATAATGAAAACTAAAACAAAACATGAGGTATTTGACTTAGATCAGAAATAACTGAGAATGAATCATCACACAACAAAACCCCATCATAAGTCAGAGACCACCTGTACTGCTGTTTCATATGATCTAGGAATATTTATAATACTCAATCATTTAATCACTTAATTCTGCATTGTTGTACAAAAAAGGATATACATTTAATAATACTTACCTAATTCAATTTCCTTCTCTATTTCTAATGTAGGCAGTGGTCTGTCTTCTATAACAAACTCTGCAGAAGCACTTAACTCTAGTAAGGATTTTAGTAGTTGTTTTCGATGCTGTGAACACCAAGGTGACTGAGTATGGTTTTCTGGGGAGGGAAAAAAGCTGAAAAACATCACCTAAAAAAACTAATGCTTAAGATACTATAATTGTGTGCTGTTTGAGTCGATTCCAACTCATAGCAAATGTATAGGACAGGACAGAAGAGTCCGCACACGGTTCCCACGGCTGTAATCTTTACAGGGGCAGATTGCCAGACCTTTTCTTTCAGAGCAGCTAGTATGTTCAAACTTCTTAGTTCATAATCAAGCATATAACCATTGTGCAACCAGGGCTCTGGATATTGCAATTTAACAAACAAGAAATCCCTTGCCACTGAGTCAATTCTAACTCATAGAGTCCCTATAGGGGAAAGTAGAACTGCCCCACAAGGTCTCCAACTCTGCAGTCTTTATGGAAGCAGACTATGACATCTTTCTTCCACAAAGGACTTGGTGGGTTTAAACTACTGACCTTTCAGTTAGTAGTCAAGTGCTTAACCACTGTGCCACCAAGGCTCCTTAGATATCATCATAGAGAGGGAGAACACTAGAGTATACATTAATACTGCTAGTCTAACAACGCTCATCTGCCACAGGTCTTTGTGAAAATATACTCAGTACTAATTATTCTAGGGAGTCATGGTGTGGTGCTGTGGGGAAATGCACTGAACTGCAAAGTTGTGTTGAACCACTAGGTCGGCAGTTCAAGCTCACCAGCTGCTCCTTGGAAACCCTATAGATGGTTGCTATGGGTCGGAACCGACTCAATGGCACGTATAACAACAATTATTCTAGAGATTTCACAATTTATGGAAACTTCTATAGAAAATAAAAACATGTAGTTCAGTTTACTGAGATAAGTGTTCACAGGCTAGGATATACATGTTTGCTCTCAAGTAGTATGCACTACCCTACCTGTAGTCTCATTAGTAAGTTCCAGTTTCTCGGGAATTTGAAGACATTTGATGGAGGAGGTGCTTGTAACGGAGGCAGAAGATCCAGAGGACTGTGTGGCTTCATGACTATCTTCAATAATTGGGCTGAAAGAACCATAAATGAGTCCATCCTTGTAGGGAATCTATATACGAACTTATCATTTTATTGGATAGCTAGTAGTCTCATTTGTTGCTGTTGAGTTCATTCTAACTCACGGCAACCCCACAAGTGCAGAGTAGAACTGATCCATAGGGTTTTCAAGACTGTCACTTTTCAGAAGCAGATCGCCAGGCATGTTTTCTGAGCCAACTACTGTTGTTATTAAGTGCTGTTAAGTTGGTTCCGACCCACAATGACCCTGTATAGGGTTTTCGAGGAGTGGCTGGTGAGCATGAACCACCAACTTTGGGGTTCAAACCAACTTTGCATTAACCAGCACATTAACCCACAGCACCACACCACCTATGGGTAAGTTCAAATCAGCAAGATTTTGGCCAGTAGTTGTTTGCACCAACCAGAGACTCCCTAATAGTCTCTTTAAAGTCTTATTTTCCCAAAACAGAAACAGGTTCATAATCAGAATCTAGGTAATTTCATCTACCTGTTTGACAAGCATTGTCCAGGATTAAATATGTGGATTTGTGCTTTATTTAACCAGTCTATGTTGTTGTTGTTGACCCATCGAGTTTGTTCCAACTCATAGTGACCCTGGATAGGGTTTCTGAGATGTGGCTAGTGAGTCTGAACAATTGATTTTGCCATTTGGTGTTTAATTCTACAGTGCCACATCAGGACTCCAACTAATCTACGGTGGTGTTGGTGGTTATGTGCTGTGGAGTCGATTCCGACTCACAGTGACCCATATAGGGTTTCCAAGGTTGTAAATCTTTATGGGAGCAGAAAGCCTCATCTTTCTCCCATGGAACCACTGGTAGTTTTGAACTACCTTGAGATTAGCAGCCCAACTTGTAACTACTACGTTACCAGAGTCCCTTAACTAATCTATAGTAAATGCCTATTCTACAGCTATTCTTTACAAAAATACTTCTTTTTCCTCCTTCTCTTGGACTTTTTAACTCTTCAATAAGAAAAAGTTGAGAAAGGAAGAGAAATAAAAATCACTTAAGATGAATTGCTCCAGCTGCTGTGTGCTGACAAGTCAGTTCCGATTCATAGCAACCCTGTGTAGGATTTCAGAGATTGTAAATCTTTACAGGAGCAAAAAGCCTCCTTTCTCCTGCAGAGCAAATGGTGGGATTTGAACCGCTGACCTTGTGGTTAGCAGCCCAGCAAGTAACCCACTATGCTACCAGGGCCCCTTTCAAGATGAACACATGCTAGCAAATATGATATAAGTTGGTTAGGGGAAAGGTTTGAAAATGCAGTTTAAGAATCATTAATAAAAAAATGGCAGGTAAATAATATTGCTAAAACTAAAACTACAATTAGCTTGTTTGTTTAAGTTACTTGAATTTTAAATATAAATAATAGAGAGGGAAAAAACTACATTATACAGTTAATACTGCTAGAGCTTTCTCCCTCTCTGTGCCACTCACTAAGAAGCGCAGTGCTCCACATAAGCACTGAACTATGAACCACAAGGTCAACAGTTTGAGCTCGCCAGCTGCTCCATGGGAGAAAAACGAGAATTTTCTGTTCCCGTGAAGATTTAAAGCCTTGGAAACCCTATACAGTGTCATTATGAGTCAGAACCAACTCAAAGGCACTTAACAACAACATGCCATTCCATACTATCCACTAATTCATTTTCACTTCACTTACACCTCTCCATCAAAAGGTACTTTTTTCTTTATTACATCTGTAGCTGCCTATTTGAAATCCAGTTAGTCTACTATTACTTTAAGCTCAGTATTAAAAAAAACTAAATGCATCCTCTCTCCCAGTCATGTACACTGTGATGAGTGTTCCCTTAGAAGTGCCAAAATCCTTCTGCATGTCTTAGTCTCATAATCGTCAAAATTTACTTCCTATGACTCTCATATCCAAATCAACCACTAAATCCCGTTGACACTTTTTCTAGGGGAGCACTACTGTCATGTACAGCACGTAACATAGTACCTGACAGCTAGTCAGAGCTTTCACTGGCAAACACACATAGAATAAGGGAGCACTCAATGTGATTTGTGCATCCTGTAATCCCCAATCACCTCAGCTTCTTGATGCTGAGAGTCTGATGGTAGACAGTGCCACAAGATGTCTCTTGGTCCTCAGTGATCTTTACATCTAGATCCTCTTCCTGCAAAAGTCCCTCCGAATCAGAAGGGTGATTCTTCAAAGACATTATCTTATGAAAGGGAGTAGATACAAAACGTGCAGCTCTAGCGAAGTCACAAGTGTCTTCTGGATTGGGACAAATAGTCACATTCCTGAAACCAGTGATAATGGCATCCTCAATCAAAGGCTCTATTCCTGTAAGTTCATCCTGAATTAAAAGAAGATGTAAAGTTTAGCTGAAGTATTTCAATGAGCATAGCCTGTCTTTTGTTACTTAGGGAGACACACATTAGATCAGTGAGTTTCACCATAGAGTGCAGGACTAGCATATCTAAATTTATAGGGGAGATACTTTCAAAAACACATTAACATTTGATGGAAAAGGTATATGATGAAAACAGCAAACTATATTTCACTTTAAAATACACTGTAAGGCTTGCAGAATGTGTTCTTTTGTTGTTTAAATTATTATATATTCCTGAGTGTTTTGTGTCCACTCTCCCCCACACCCCCTCCCCCCAAAAAAACAACAACAACAGAGGGAATAGAAGCAAATACTGTGGAATGATGATGCAAGGAGGAGATTGCAATTACTGCACTGAAATGATGGGGTAAAACTGATATTCTCTCCTGTAAACTATCACTAAATTCACAATAAAAACTTAAAAAAAATACAGTGAGGATTCACTTGTTGTTAAGTACCTTAGAGTCCGTTCTGACTTACAGTAACCTTGGACAGGGTTTCCAAGGCTGTAAATCTGTGGAGGAGCATATTCCTTCTGCTAAGGAGCAGAGATATGATCATGATCACAGCAGAAAATATAAAAAAATAAATTGTTGTTGCTATTAAGTGCTCTCAAGTTGGTTCAGACTTATAGCAACCCTGTATAGAGTTTCTGAGGAGCGATTGGTGGGTTTGAACTGCCAACCTTATAGATGAAACTGACCTTGCACTGGTCCAGTGCTTAGTCTACAATGCCATACCAGGACTCCATAAAGTAGTAAAAAGAAGTCACCTGAAATGACCAATCGAATGTACTTTTACTATGCATTTAAAACATTTATCTTTAAAAATGGAATGCAGGGTCTTTTTAACCTAAATATTATCATGTTACCAGTTCAAAGTGGTTAAAATATTACTAAAGAGAAATATTTGATTCACATAACTCTTCTATTGCCACAAAAGACATTTTCTATATGAAAAAGAAACAATGCCCTTGGTTAAAAATTACTGCTTTTTAAAAGTGCTAAAGGCTTTTAAGCCTGTAATTTTCTTCCCAGTTTATATCCATTAACAGTCTCTTCCCAACTCCTTTCCTTATCCCCTGTTGTTGTTGTTAAGTGCCATCAAGTCGTTTCCGACCCATAGCGACCCTGAACAGGGTTTCCGAGGCTGTAAATCTTTACGGGTGCAGAAAGCCTCCTCTTTCTCCCGCAGAGCACCTGGTAGTTTCGAACTGTTGACCTTGCGGTTCGCAGCCCGATTCGTAACCACTACGCTACCAGAGCTCCTTATCCCCTGGCAATCCTTAATCTATTTTCTATCTCTGTAGTTTTGCTCATCTTGGATATTTTACAGAAATGGAATCATATAATATGTGGCATTTTGTGTCTGGTTTACTTCACTTTGTATGTTTACAAGGTTCATTCATTTTGTATCATGAGTCAGTACACTTCATTCATTTTTATGATGGAATAGTCCATTCTTTGTATGGATATACTAACTTTGTATTTTCTTCAGTTGATGGACATCTGGGTTATCACCACCTGGCTAATATGAACAATGCTGTTATGAACATTCATGTAAGAGCCTTTGGGTGAAGATACATTTTCAATTCTGTTAGGTATATGAGAAGGGGAACTTCTGCATCACATGGAAAACTCCATGTTTAACATTTTGAAGAACTGCCTGTTTTCCAAAGCAGTTGTGCCATTTTATATTCCCACTGGCAATTAAGACGGTATTCAATTTCTCTTTGTTATCACCAACATTTGTTATTGTTCATCTTTTTAATAAGAGCCATCCTAGTGGGTGTTAGTGTCCTGGTGTGGAACCATAGGATAAGCACTTGACCTTACGTTCGGTTTGAACTTCAAGGTCAGCGGTTCAAACTCACCAGCTGCTCTTCAGAAACCCTTTATAAGGTTGCTATGAGTTAACAATAATAAAGTGAGTGTGAACTAGTATGCCATGGTAGGTGTGGTGATGTGGGTTAACGTGTCAGACTGCAAAGCTGTATGAACTGCAAAGTCAGCGAGCGGTTCAAGCTCACCAGCTGCTCCTCAGAAACCCTATACAGGGTTGCTATGGGTCGGAACTGACTCGATGGCACTTAACAACAACAACAACGTGACTAATGATAGGAACTCTGGTGGCACTTCAGGATAGGCATTGGACTGCTAACCACAAGGTCAGCAGTTCCAACCCATCAGCCACTCTTTGAAGAGTGAGATTTCTCTTGAGAGAAAGACTTTTTTCCTGCTCCTATAAACATTTACAGTCTTTGAAACCCCATGCAGAGTTGCTATGAGTAAGCATCAATTCAGTGGCAGTGAGTCTGAGTTTTGAGTTTGATGACTAATGGTGTTGAACACCTTTTCATGTACTTATTTCATGCCAGTGATTTAAATTCTAACTCTAAACATTTGTGAGAACTGAATCAACAATCTACTACTCCCTCCATATTAACTTAGGGGATAACTGCTCTTACACAAACATCTGGAGACACATCTTCAGTTGAGGTAATGCTTTCTGAAGTTTTGAGAACTGCAAGAGGTCTTCGTTGGGTTAAAACCCCTGGTGGATCTGTAGGACTGGAACGACATATTCCACTTAGTACTTTTTTTTCTGTTGATAAGGTAATAGTAGTCACTTAATTCACCCTCATTTATAACAACAGAAAACCTTTTATATTAAAAAAAAAAAAAATCAAACCTGATATTTTTTTTTTCTGAAGGAAGAAACTCATCAAATATGGAAAATGGTATACTGGAACCTATAAAAAAAGATATCTGATTAATATTTTTTAAGAGTAAATGCTCTATTCTTTGAGACAATTAGATCAAAATTAATTTTTTATACTATAGATCTGTTTGAAAGTTGAAAGGCAATCAGGTATTTCTTTTAATAATTAATTTCAAACATAATTAGAGAACATTTAATAACTTAATAATTATCTACACATAGTTCTTGTTTCATCTTATCTCCCACTGCCATTCTACCCCAAACCCACCCAACTTGGATTGTTTTGAATCAAACACAAGACATCATATAATTTAAATGCTGTATTTAAATTGTATCCAAAACCCACCAGCAGTTCTTCAGAAACCCTACACAGGGTCGTTATGAGTCGGAATCGACTCGATGGCACTCATCGACACAATGACAAAGTAGAAGTTAAACAGAATATTCCAAAGGAATATTCTATAGAAATACTTTTTCAAATATCTACCTATCTCCGATCTTGTGATTATATCAATTCCATCATTGAAAGATAAAACACCTTAGTCACTCTTCGCCATCTTTAATTTTTTCCCATAATTAAAAAAAGCATTTATCATTTGTTACACAACATGCATTTCCCACTTTACTAGCAAGTTCTTGATGAGATTGCCAAATACAACTCACCTTCAGAGTGAGACTGTTCCTGACAAATGTTTTCTACAAGTAGCGTTTTCCTGTGAAGAAGTTTTAAAATATGTGCTCAGTACCCATACAAAAAACTGTTTAATTCTTTAAAGTCCAAGAGACTTTTCCATTAAATATAATCTTCATTCTACAACAATTGTTATTCCAATGTCTTTAAGATAGAACCATTAGTCATTAAAAATATTGTAGAAGTATAGTTCATATAATGCATTCCTGGTGTGGCACTGTTGGATCAGCACTGGACTGCAAACCATAGGGTTGACAGTTCAAACCCACCAGCTGCTCCTCAGAAACCCTACAGGATCACTATGAGTTGGAACCGACTCGATGGCACTCAACAACAACAACATTGCTCATGTTGTTGTTATGTGCCATGGAGTCAGTTCCAACTCAAAGTGACCCTGCACAGGGTTTCCAAGACTGTAAATCTTTACAGGAGCTGTTCCTTTGGAACAGCTGGTAATTTCGAACTGCTGACCATGAGATTAGCAGCCCGATTCATAACCACTACACTACCAGAGATGTTAAACTGCCATTTTTATAAAAACTAAACAAAACCAAAACACAAACGGAAAGATAAACCAATGTTAATGTAGTCATCTTCTGGCAAAGAATCGAGGCATTTTATTTTTTTAAATTATTTATATTTGATTGTTACTATAAGTAACGTGAATTCTTTTTAATGGAAAGTCAGTACCCTGTTCTGTCTCATTAGCAAAGTTTATGGTGTGACAGACTTACAGAGAAATTTCAAGTCATTTGAAAGTCAAAGGTTGGTTCTAAATCCCTTCTGTTAGCACCACCCCTTCCACCACTATTGTCTTACCTGGCACAAGAGTTCACTGGACAAAGAGAACTGGATTGAACCATTCCTGGTATTTTCTGAGACTCAGAAGTAATTTCAAGTTCATCTATCTCCTTTGTAGGCAATCTCTCTTCTTGCTGTTTACACTAAATAAAGAAAATCAATGTGTCTCTTCCATCCAGAAATTGCTACTTTTCAAACTCTAGCCCCAACATTAGCTTCTTCCCCTAACTACCCATTATCAATATAAAATGTCTGTATCACAGAAATTCTTTCCAATCATTTACATTTCTAGTATAAATTGGTAATGTTGTACTCAACTTAATAATTGCCTAGATAAAACAGAACTTTTTAAATTAACACCAATTTTACTAGAAGTAATTAGGATTAAAAAGTTAAAATTATTTAAAAAAACAAACAAACAGTTTTGAGTATAACTAAGAGGTCAATAAACTGCATTACTTATGCTACATGCTATAAATCCCATTCCTGTTTTTAATTCCTGCTGCCAATAGCCAAGAAACTACAAAGCCTGCCTACGGACTTGGAGGACTTCTACTTCAATATTTTCATATTGTTTAAAGTGGTTTCAACAAACATTAGTTTTTATGGATTAAACAGAAAAATTACCTGATCACCCATTCTTTCTTGCTGAGTAGTTTGGATTTCTTTCAGCTTTTTCTCCATCTCTTCAATCTGTTTCTGCATTTCTGCTCTCTTCTTTGCATTGGTCAGTAGCTCCGCTAGAAACAGTCAAGTTGGCTGAGGCATTACTCCTCAGAGCAATGAATTCTATCAAATACTATCTTTGGAGTATACATATTCTCAACAGATACGTTAAAACTACAGATAATAATTATTTAAATGGAGCAAAAACTTCAACTTAAAGTCTTTTATGTGTTCAGTTAATTAAAAAAAAAAAAAAAGAATACCTAGGTCAGTACTTTAAATCTACCAGTGGCTCCACAGGAGATTAGACTTTTTCCTCCTGTAAAGATTTACAGCCTCAGAAACCTTAAACGGGGTTGATATGAGTCAGAATCGACTTGGTAGCACATAACTGCCACCACCCCCCACTATGTCCCAGGCACAACTCTTGAGCACTACTTAGATTTCAGTCCTTGGTCTTGTGATGCTAACAATCTATTTGGGAAAGACAACATACATGCACAAATAAATAAGAAAATCAGTGCGAAGAAGAAAATAGGTGTTATGAGCATATGTGAGTGGGCAGGGGGCTGAAGTCAGGGGCCACCTGAAGACCTAGATATCAGGGAAGAGAATCTAGATGAAGTGATGTTATAACCTGAAGAACAAGGGGCCAGTCATAATGACAGATTCTGGACCAAGGGACTGACTGACACAAAGGCATTAAGATAGGAACAAGATCATTTGAGTTCAAGGATTCAAAAGGCAGCCATTCCAGTTGCCAGCATAGAAAGAGGGAATACAGTAAAAGATGCAGTTGGGGAAGTAGGCAGGGACCAAGTCATATGAGACTTTAAATTTTATAATAAAGAGTTTGCATTGAATTCTGAGATTCTGAAAACTCACTGAAGAACTTTAAGTACAGGAGTGACATGTCTTACTTTCTAAAACGATCATTTTGGTTGTTATGAAGAAAATGGGTTGTGACTGGACAAGAATGAGGGCAAAAAGCCTAGTTGCAGTAGCCAGCTGGAAGACCGTGACTGGATTAGGGGAATAGTGGAAAAGGTCAGAATGAAAGATCTGGGGCACATCATAGTGGTCGAATGATATGTTCATTCATTAGTTGCTGGGGAATGGCAAGGAAAAGACCAAAAAAGACTTCAGGACTTTTTATTTTTTGGCTTGAGCCACTTGGAGCATGGTGATATTTTTTTTTATTGAAATGTGGAGGAAACCTGGGAGGAAAAACTTACATGTGTTGGGTTGTGGTATGTGGCAAAAATCAAGAATTCTGTTTTGGCTATGGGAAGACTAACACACCTACTAGGACAACCAAATGCAGGAAAGTAAATATGAGGCTGTATCTCTTTATATGAGGTTGTACATCTTTATGGGAGCAGAAAACCTCATCTTTCTCCTGTGGGATAGTTGGCAGTTTCAAACTGCTGACCGTGAGATTAGCAGCCCGATTCATAACCACTACACTACCAGAACTCCTTAGTCAAAGAATGTTGGTGTTGTGAAGTGCTGTTGAATTGGTTCCGACCCATAGCGACCCTGTTTAGGGTTTCTGAGTGACTGATGAGCTTGAACTGCCGACCTTGCAGTTCAAACGGCTTTGCACTCTGGCACATTAACCCACAGCGGCACATCAGGAATAGGACCTTCAAAATAGAGATTTCTGCAGTTGTACAGTTTCTGAATGGCAAGGCCCACAGTAAGACCATGGAAGAGGGTAATGGAATGGGTTGAGGAAGAGAACACCAAAAGTGTGGTGGTCAAGGAATTGGGAAGTCACGGTACTGGATGGAGCAGAAGAAGAAAGTGAGCCAGGTGCTTAGTCAATTAATGGATGATGGAGAGTGACTAGAAAGTCTGAGGTGAGCACATGAACGAGGTTTAAATGTACAAAAAAACTGCAAGATGAATCTATATATGAAGTTTTTAAAGGAAGAAAGGGAAATGGTTTGGAAGCAAAACAGTAACAACTTTATCCCCAGGCCCTGAGTATGGTTTCCTTTTTCTTACATCCCTCCCTGAGAATAAGTAGTTATGTGTAGCTCTGTAGGATAAGCACTAGAATGCTAACTGCAAGATAAATGGTTCAAATCCAGCAGCCGCTCCTCGGAAACCCTATATTGGATCACTATATGCCGACACTTAACAACAACAGTCTTTGAAGCCAGTTTTCAATAGCAACAAGAGCCCACTTTATTACAGGCTTAAAGATTTCCAAGGGTACAAAATATACATATAGGTAGGAGATTACAAATTCATGAACTATATTCAGAGACCAGAGTAGGGAATGAATACTAAACAATTCTCAGAACTCACTATTTCTTTTTATCTACTCAAATCCAAACTAAACTCTGAGCAGGTCCTGCTATGGCTAAGAAGGAAATGTACTTTCATCTTATTTCTATAAACCTGGTATGAGTTAAGCTTTTCCTTCAAGGAAAAAGTAGTTTTTATTTGGCATCTACATCCTTTTCCAGTTTCCATTTGGCTACATTTTCAGTGTTTAAAAAGCTCCTTCTTTCTAACTATTCCATCTCTCCTCGTGACCCTGACAAGAGTTTTTTCTCTGGGTAGAAGGGATGTTTGAGGAAACAAAGAAATTTTGCTGTGAAGAGAAGTGGACAAAGGGAAATAGCTGGAGAAGAATCTGAAGATAATGGAAAACTTTCCTTCTTCTTTTTTACAATGGGAGACATTAAAGTATACCTGACATTTCCATCATGCCATTTTTACATTCCTTCATCCCATTTTCTATGGTCTCCTTACTCTCCCTCACCTCTTAATGCATAAGCTTCCAAATGGCATCGTTTCCTACTTGTTAATCCATTCTTCCAGGCTCAAAAATCTGAAATGTTTGCCATTTCCCCAAAACTTCCAATTTCTCAATGTATAGTAAAGCCTATCATAAATTTAGAAAAGATAATATCCTTAACAAACAATACTAATAATTATTACCTACATTACTGCATTGTGAAATACTACAGGCAACATTAGGGCAAGTACTTCGTGGGGAGGCGGTATTATCAGGGATCACAGCTGCCTGTCTATTGCATTGGGGAATATTGTGCCTCCAGTTCATAGCTTCCTCTCCTCCTCTATTTCTGAACACACATCCGATTTTCCTCCCCAGGGGTTTTGTGGGAAGTAGCAATGGAGTTCAGCTTAAATAGAGAGAGAAACAGTACAGCCACAGAAACATCACATAAAGATACAAACAATTGGACAATTTTCTTCAGACTTAATATATCAGTTCAGCATTCCTAAAATGAAGTTAACTTATTTTCACAACTTGATAAAGATCAATACACACACCTTCCCTTTGCTCTTTTAATTTCTTCCGAAAAGCTTCAGCACGGATTTCTTCAAAAGAGAATTCTCCCACTCCTGCATAAATCTTTTCCTTACAGTACATCATCTTTTCTTTCTGCTCATCAGACTCCTGTTGATGGCTTTGAACCCTCTGTAAGGGATCTCCTTCTTCTTCCTTTCTAGGTTTTCTGGTGCTTAGAATGTGGTTTATACTAGGTTCAATTTTACATGGTGTCCTAAAAGAAGCAAAATAATTACTGTTCACCAGATGCATTGCTTCTTACATGTTTTGATAAAACACAGGGAGAACTAATAAAACTATAATGTAATCAATTTTAAAAACTAACACATTTTGGAAAGAGGCTAAAAATAAATAACTTAACAAATACGTTCTCAGTATTACACTAGTATGATGAAAAGGAATTTAGTCATATGAATTAGGGTCCTTAAATAGCTTACATCCCTGATAGGTGAAAATACAACTTAGTACTGGATCTTAATAAAACCCAAATTATGAAAGGAGGCTAACCTTCTCAATACAAACTATTTTCCATTTGTTGTTAAGTGCCGTAGAATTATATAGGGATTCTGAGGAGTGGCTGGTAGGTTTGAACGGCCAACCTTTTGGTTCAAACTGAACTTGTGGCCCAGTGTTGATCTTACAGCACCACACCAGAATTCCATAAGTTGCTGTTATTGTTAAGTGCCGTTAAGTTAGTTCTGAATCATAGAAAATCTAGATAAGGTTTCTGAAACTGTTAATCTTTGCGGGATCAGAAAGCCTTATCTTTTTCCCACAGACAGTTAGGAATAGATTACTAAAATGAATGGTATGAACCTTAAAGCTCTCAGAAGAGGGAGAAGAATGAGAGTGGTAGTTACAGACTGAAAAGAATGAAGCATGAGGTACCTCAATCAGGACAGGGCAGGTGTTCTGAACTACTGAAACTCTAATTATAAAATAGGCAAAAGATCTGACTAGATATCTCTTTAAAGACAATAGACAGTATTTAGCTTTAGGTGACATTACCTCTTTAAATGTCAAAAATCTGTCATGTCATTCTGAGATTATGGATAAAATTATAAAGTTAACTCTACAAACATTACTTATGAAAAACAGATGATGTAAGAAGAAAGTTTAGTTATGCAAAAAGGTATTTAAGATATGAAATATATATATAACCTCCTTATTCTCTCCCAGTCTCTCTGAAAACTTAACTATGTTAATATGCTTTTATATGCTCTTTTCTTAAATATCATAAATTTACAACAACGATCCCTACTAAATTAATTAGTGTATTGCCTCTATACTATTTATGATCCATAATATCATTAAAGTTTTTGGCAGCAGTTTTTTACTAAATGAATCCATTGTGAGTTATGAAAATGTTCATAAACAGATCTGTTTGGATAAGATAGTTTTATGAAATGAGCATTCTAATATTTGTACGTAACGTCATATAGATGACAAACTATGCATAAGGCTGGTCTTTGATGTATAACATGGTTGGAAATATGTAGATGAGAAATGAAGGGTGGAAAAATATAAAAATTAAAATATTCTGTATAACACAGTATGATTTAATGATATTCAAACGCAACCAAATCTGCTGGTGTCCGTTTGATTCTGATTCATACAGTGGTCTTAATTCAGCAGTAGATTAAAGCAGTTTGGAAGATACCATTAACTTAAAAAAAAAAAAAAAAAAAAAGATAATACATAAAAGGCCAATACATACAGGAAAAGATGCTCAATTCCATTAGTCATTAGGGAAATATAAATCAAAACCATAACTAGATATCACTTCACACCCACCAGGGTGGCTAGTATATATTTAAAACAAAAACAAACACCAACAATAGAGAGAGAAAATAAGAATGTGAGGAAATCAGAACCCCTGTCCACTGCTGATGAATATGCAAAATGGCTCCTCAAAAGTTAACAAAGAATGTTGTTGTTGTTGTTGTTAAGTGCCGTCGAGTCGGTTCCGACCCATAGCGACCCTGTACAGGATTTCCGAGAATTCCAGTCCTAGGTATATAACCAAGAAAACTGAAAGCAAGGAGTACTCAGATATTTGTACATCAAGGTTCATTACAGCCCCAAAGTAGTGACAATGCAAGTGTCCATTATATAAAGAGAATATAGTATATAAAGTTCTGATACATCTATGCTATATGTATGAACCTTGAAAACATGCTAAGTAAAATAAACCAGACACAAACAACCATGTACTATAGGATTCCATTTGTATGAAATGTCTAGAACAAACAAAGCTACAATGACAGAAAACAGATTATGGTTGCCTGGGTCTTAGGGCAGCAGTGATGGCAGGGAATGCAGTGTGATTGGTAAAGGTATGAGGCTCCTTTGGGGGATGATGATGGTGTTCTAAAATGTATCGTGGTAAGTGTTACAAGACTGTCCCTAGTGGTGTAAATAGCTAACAGGGCTGCTAACTGAATGATTAAAGGTTTGAGTCTACCTAGAGGTACCTCAGAAGAAAAGTCCTGATATTATACTTCTGAAAATAGCCACTGAAAACTCTAGGGAGCACAATTCAACTCTGACACATGGGGCTGCCGTAAGTCTGAATAAACTTGACAGTAACTGGTTTAAAGCTGTTTTAAAAATCTTTCCAAGTGATTCTAAATGCAACTGCAAACCACTAGTATAGAGTAATAGGAAGATAGGGGAAATGAGAAAGGGGAAAAAAAAGAAGCCATTAAAAAACTGAGGAACAAACAAGATGGAGGATCAGGTAGACGTATAGAAGAGAGCTCCGCCAACAACAACACAGAATACCTGACCAAGCAGGCTCAGGGAATGGTCCCAGAACTCTGAACCACATATAAAGGAATACTTAGAAGGTTGGAAGGCTCACAGCTGGGGGAATTTGTGGCAGAAGCAAG